ATCTTCTGCTGAAACATGGAACCATACACCGCCATATGCTATGTCTTTTGTGCATTTGGTGAGTAGTGGAGCAGGCCCCACTGGACGTATTCGTACGAAAACAAAAACAAAAAAACGAGAGAGCCACGGGCATCTTCATTCTAACCCATAACTGCCGACATGCGGACCTGAACGCCAATCTTCAGGATATATTGGTGGTCGGCTGGCAATAGAACATCAAATTTGTGACTTCTGCAAAGCTTCGTGGGGCAGGTCGTTGTTAGGCGACGACCCTTCTTGCGAACTGACCCCACTACTGTGTGGGATTTGCAGAAGGCAGCGGGAAGGACATCTCTCATACCCCGCCTAAAACAAAAGTTGGAATGAGCCCTATTTTGTGCCTCGCCATTCGAAACTTTTTGGGGAAGGGCCTGCGCAAATCGAATTTTCAGCAGCCCTTACCCAAAAGAAAAGTTTGGGCCGTGGGCGCGGCTGGTTTGTGAACTTGCGCGGTGAGTTTAACATTTTGCCGAGTTGGGGGCCCTAAGAAATTAGAAAACCCCTACTTTTTTTTTTTTTTTTTTGGACCTATTTCAAGTGCGCTGCGCTTCGGTGCGCTGTGCGGTGCGCGGCGCGACGTGCGCAAACCGTGCGCAAACCGGCGCACCGACGTGCGCCGCAACTATGGTCCATAGTCATCGGTGTCCTGCTTATGTCTCATGGTGATGAATGCCCCAAAACGCAGTGTGTTTGAATTCTGTGGGGACCACCCTCTAAGCCCAGGTCTTTCTCACTGACCGATTGTGTACAAGTACCATGAGGGAAAGGTGAAAAGAACCCTGCTGTTGTGTGTAAATGGGGTTTACATAGCTTGGCCCTAGGGGATTGTTGAATTATTGGACAAGCAGGTGCACAAAGTTCAAAAAGGGGAGCCAGTAGGCTGCAGGGGATAAGTTATTGGTAACTAGTCAGAACAAGGATGGTGAGGGAAAAGGATGTATATGGAGATCCGGCAAAAAAACAAGTTCGATAATCATCATGTTCCTCTGTATGTCTCACAATGATGAGTGGCTTGCCGCTGTGAAAATGGGGTTCGCATAGGTCGGCCTCAGGGGGGACAGCTGAAGAATTGGACAAGCAGTTGTGCAAAGGTCAGGGTGTGAGGTGGTTGGCTGCAGGCGATAGGTTGTTGGTACCCCGCCGGAACAAGGTTAGTGAGGGGAAAAGGAAAAGGAAGAATTGGAGATAATGCAGAGCTATAGCACAGGAAGGAAACAGGATGCTTTTTAGATTCCTGTACAAACTTACAAAGACCATTTCTTTTTTGAAGTTCTTTCTTTCTTTCCTTTTTTTTTTTAATGAGGACTCTTTCTGTGGTACTGTCATTTTTGTTTTCAAGTTCACTGAGTGTGGGAATAAGTTGTCCGCTACTGGTGTTCCTGCCTGCTGAACACAAACCTGTGTTGAAAATTCCACAAACCATTGTCTTCAGTTCGTGCTAGCCGGTGAAAGTTACGGCATACTGGAAACTGTGGCACAGCTTTTGAGTTTACATTAGAGCGTGAGCTCGCCGGAATGGAAAGTGGGCTTCCATCATTGCCACCTCCCCCCACCAGCCGGTGAAATTTACTCTTGCATTGGCATTCCTCTCTGTGGGTAGAGATGTGTTGTTGTTCTGCGTTTTATGGACCCGCGATGTGGGCTGTGATTATTTTACATATAATGATGATAGTGGATTGATTTAAATTTATTCTGTGCCCTGTTGTAACAGGTGCTGCTGATGTGGCCTGTTCTCTTCCTCTTGCCTTCCCTTTCTGAAAAAACAGGTGATGGAGGATCCATCCGGAGATATCTCGAGTCAATCTCCCAAGTTAGGGTAGTTCCAGACTTTGTGAAGCGCAATCCTTTTGGTACACCTCAAGACTCTATGGGAGCAGAAGCATGGGCTCTGTTTGTCGATTTCCGCAAAAAGTATAATTTCGGTTGTTTGTGGATTGGCGCTAACGGAGGAGTTGGAAATTTTGTGGGAAACCCACAGCTGTCACAGGGGGAGAAAGGGGGGAGATATATGGGTGTGAAGTCGGCAGTGATTGTGCCAGATGCAGAAGCTGCGGGAATGGGTCAAGATGGTACGGAATTGAGCAGAGATGGAATGAATGAGCAATGTGCATCACAAAACAATGATGAGAAGGAGGAAGGGGAGCTGGTGCCGGAGGAGGAAGACGAGGAAGGCCACAAAGGTAGAGAGGTGAGCAGTGAGACAAAGAATGAGAAGGGGGAGGAGAGTGAGAAGCCTGCAGAATCTCTCACAAGGGACAGTATGTTATTGAATGGGCCGGAGAAAGATGGTACTGAGACCGATCAGGAAAGTGATAGGCATGGAGGAAGACAAAGGGAGGCTGTCGGAAGTCCTTGCCAGGTGAGAAAGAACAGCACAGAAGAAGAAGTAATGGCAAGGAGAGCTCTCAGTGATGATGAAGAAAGCGGATTAGATGAGGGAGAGGAACCAAGAAGGGGATCTGGTGATGTCAGCGAGTGTGACAGTGAGCACAAGGATGGCAGCCAGTGTGTGACTTCTGGACAAGATCGGAGTGATCTGTTGTTGAGGGAAAGGGTCAGCCCAGCAGCCGTCAGGAGTGGCGATCGTATTGCAGAGCAACCTACTGAGGAGGACGAGCAGGCAAGACAACGGAATACCGCCGTAGCTGGTTATGTTACGGAGAGCGAGAGGGATCCCAATGGCAGTGTGCTTGCGGAAAGAGAAGAGAAAGCAGTTGACGGAGCGATAGTGGACAATAGGCAGGAAGTAGAGCGACACGAGGAGGGTGCAAATGAAGCTGAGATGCCTGTCGAAGAGCCGAAGGTGAAGATGAGAATAAAGAGTGTGATCGTGGGAGTATGTGAACCTGAGCCAACTGTCGAGCAAACTGATAACGCTAGACTCGGAGGTTCTGGGTCATGGAGAAAACGGAGGAATAGCGGTAAAAGAAAGTATAAGAAACGGGCGCTAGCTGGAAATAGTGGTGGGGCAGTTGGTGTGAACATGAACAACATTAACAGCAGCAAGATGAACAACATGTTTGCATTAGATTCGCAGGTGGATCTGGGTGTCCGTAACAGTAATGCATCTTCTCTTCTCCTTATAGGCAAGAAGAAGCATAGAGGGCAAGCACAGTGGCTGCCGGTTAGTAAACTACCGATGGAGCAGCGGCTGGGAAGTCTAAATGGAAGGGTCTCCTTCATCGGAAAAATGGATGGACCACAGCAAAACATCATGTATGGTGGAGACGGGATCTTGGGAGGTCAGCCGCAGAAGGACAAGCCTGGTCGGAAAAAGAGGAAGGCAAAGGTGGGCCGGAAGAAAGGCAAAAATGCTCAGCAGCAGCAGCAGCAGCAGCAGCAGATGACGATGATTCAAGAGCTGCCAGCAGCCAATGTAAATTCTTCTGTCCGACCTGTTGCACAGGATTGGGCTCAGGGTGCATATGCCGGTAGGGGAGGAGGGTCCTGGAGACCAAACGATAGGATGCATGTGGAGGAAGATTACAATGCCATGCGGAGGAGGGATGACAGGTTCGAGGGCAATGTCGGGCACGGTAGGAGATGGAATGGCAGTGCCAGTCCTGTGAGAAGATCAGCTGACAGTCCACGAAAGTGGAGGAAAAGGACTCCACCACGTTACGACAACAGTGCGATGGGCACGGCACGGAAGGCTGGTGTGCCCTTCCGCAGGAGTATGAGCCCACCAAGGAGGCCTGCTGACAAACACGAAGAATTCCGTCACGGCAGGGAACGGGGAAGGCGGGACGCGCGAAATGTGAGCAGGAGCAGGAGTCGAAGCAGAGAAAGAGTGCCTGCAAGAGAGGTGATAGACAGGGGGAGTGAAGCAATGCCGAGTTCCAGGGCTGGGAATAGAAGGGTAGATGAGAGGATGCCTGGGGGGGGTGGGAAAGATAGCCCAAGAAGGGGGGATGCACCTGGTGCAGCTGGAGTGAGCAGCAGTCGGCTGTGGACAGGAAGAGATGTTGGGGCAAGATCAGGCCAAGTGAATTATCGTGTAGGAATGTATAGTAAGCAATATACTCATGGATCTGTGCGGCAGGGAAGTCAGAGCTATGAAGAGACTTCACGCACACAAGAAGTGGCTTCTTATTTTCATGGTGATAGAGGCTCCAATGACAACTCGGCATTTGGCAGGGGAGCGCACTCGAGTGAATGGAGTCAAGTGCATGCACCTGGCAGAAAGTGGGAAAGGGAGGGAAGGCACGAGAGTTCTGCTCCAGGGATGTTGTCCAGAAAGAATTGGAGGTAATCAGAGATGAGGAGAACATGGAAGGGAGGGGAGGAAGAAAGGGAGCGGGGGGGGTGGGGGCGGAGAGAACGGGGAGAAAGCGAAGAAGGACGAGGCATTCTGGAATCAGCGGTATTTTCTAGATTGGGCCTGTGCACGCATGGTCTCTTGGATGATGAAGATTTTTCCAACTGGGGCCTGACCTGAAACAGAATTCAAACCGTTCATGCCTGCAGTAGCTCTCGTGGTTGGTGGCACCTAAATATAGCTGTTCCGAATACTACGACGACCCTATCTACTGTGTTGATGGGGGGCGAACATCTTGTTGTCTCTATCTGAAGCTGTTTGCCGTTTCGCTGCACTCCAGAGCTGTTTGCTCCAATGACCAGTTCCTCTGGTGTCTCTGCACTGACGAGCTGTTTACCCGTTCGCTGCACTGAAGTCCTGTTTGCCCCAACAACCACATCCTCCGTTGTCTCTGCACTGAAGGGCACTTTGCTCATTCGCTGCCCTGACGAGCTTTTTGCCCCAGCGACCACATCCTCCGTTGTCTGTGCGCTGAAGAGCTGTTTGCCATTTCGCTGCACTGAACGGCTGTTTGCCCTATTGCTGCACTGAAGAGCTGTGGCCCTCTCTTGCAAAAGTGGGTGGTAAATTTCATGTGGCCTCCTGTACTGGCCCAGACAGGAAGGCAGACAAAAGTGCAGTCGTTGATTGAAACATCGGCCCTGTAGCCAATCCTAGGAATCTTTTTCGGTTTCTTCCATGGCTAATCTGGTGGGTGACAATGTGCTTTCATTGTCAGTATCTTTGGCGTTTCTATTCTTTGTCAATGCGGAATGATCTGGAAGGCAACGAGCAGTGCCCCTATCTGTGCATGCGATGTTCCACTGCAGCTCATTGTGCGTTAAAGGTAGGGACAACGCGAAGATTCTTCTCGAGTATTGTGAGAGGTGGTGGCTGATCAGGCCCTTTGTGAGAATTCCTTGCCCGCTCTCTCTGCCTGTGCCTGCATGCATGTTTGTCTTGCTTCTTTGTCTGAAAAACTTCAGAATTTCAACCCGAGTTTCAATCTTCAACCCACTTTGTCTTTTTGATGCTCTTCATATGTTCTTTGATCTTCCTTCCTTCATATGTTCTTTGTGTCTGCTTGTCTTCTTTTAGAACTCTGTGCTACTGATATAACTTACACACACAGTTGTTTTTTTTTTTTTGACTGTCGGGCCCAAAAGCTCCATGTCAACCTCCCTGCGTCCGCATATTTGATGTTCATGACATTGGATTCTGTCGGGAATTAGCTCTTCTGGAAAACCATGTCTTGTCTGGACTCTTTTGCAGAGATTTGGGATATAACTACCTTTCCGAGTGCCCCTCTTTTTTCTTTCATTTTCTTTTTCCTTTTTTTTCAGTCTCTTGATTCTCTTGTTTTTTTCCCCCCTAATAAGGGCGACAGCCTTGAGATATCATCCTTGGACTGACCGGCCCCAGGCAATTCAAAATTATTTTATTCTGTTCATCTGGATTCCAACTTGGGTCTATACTTCAACATTCCATTGCTGTACCGACTGAGCTAGGCCCGTTGGTACGCCTTTTTTTAATCTTAAAAGGACTAGGCCTTCTTTATGATCATGTAACTGACAGGCCCCATGTAATAATACTTACTTCATCCATCTGATCCTTTGAACTCAGGTCTGGTTATCAACAGTTCATGGGTGTACCGTTCAGCGACGTGGGTTGGGCGCTGCTCGTTTTATTACTTCAATGCACAGCCTTGATTTGTATTCCCCCCTGTTGTTCTCTCACTCCTTGAGATATCCTTACAGCCTTACAGGGGATTTATGGATCTCTAGTGATTCTCTACTGAAAACATGAAGAGCCGTGCATATTTATTGTATGTTTTCTTCTCGGCAAGCTTCAGTGCAATTTGAGATGTGCCTGCTACATCTCTTCCTCCGTATGTTCCACTAGACTTTGACCTAACCATAGCCAATATGCTTTATGCATCTATGGTGCAGCTGCATGCTTGTGTGTGTGTGTTGTGTGTGTGTTGTGTGTGTGTTGTGTGTGTGTTGTGTGTGTGTTGTGGGTGCGTGGGGGGGTGGGGGGGGGGGGGGGGGGGGGGGGGGGGGGGGGGGGGGGGGGGGGGGGGGGGGGTTGTTTGGGTGTACGAAACTCCTGTGATAGTGTCGCCGCATGTTGCATTGAAAAGCTCACTGCTACGGAGTGTACAAAACTTCTGTGATAGTGTTGCAGCCAGTGTCGTCCCCCGTACGTCGTACGGGGGGTCTCCGTACGGCCCGTGAGTACGGATGGACGGACGGCCGTACGGGCGTACGGACGGTCTCCGTCCGAACGTGCCAGGGCCCGGTGTGAAGGGGGGGGGGGGGGGGGTGGGCCCCCGGGGGGGGGGGGGGGGGGGGGGGTTGGGGTTGGAG